AAGCGTGGCATTTTTCCACATTGCACGGTAGGCTATTCAGAACTGACCTGTCTGAAATCGTGTCGAGGTCGCGCTGGAGCTTTTCGTGATCGTTCGGTTCTTTGCTCGCTCCCCATAACTTGATAACATCTGCAAAAATAGGAAATCAGAAGTAATTTACATCGCCAGATCTTTCGGCAACGTAAGAATAGACAGGGCCCGAAGATAGAGCCTTATGGTAGGTCGTACTCCACATCAATTGCATAGGACAGGGATTCTCGTACTCACAATTCCAACAGACGTTCATGCAGGAAATTGCCTATCCAACGCAGCAGTGGATCATCAATGCCACAGAGCTGTATATTGGGGAGAATTCGATGGTCTAAGCAAATGAAAGCTTTTGAGAAGTTCAGGTAAATGACATCAACACTTGCTCCACCATCAACTGCTTCAGTCCATCTATGCGTGCAATTAGCAGTCTTGTAGTGCATGAGTGCTTTTGTCGGAAGCCATGTTTCTCTAGTGCTATCATCTTGTGATGTTACAGATACTGCATGAGTGCATCAGCAATGATGAAATCCATAAACTTGGAAAGCACATGGAGCAGCTTTATAGGACGGTAGTTGGTTGAGTCAGTGCGACAACCTCCCTTATACATAGGGGTGATAACCTCTCGCTTCCATATTGTTGGAATACGATTGTTCTTCATACAGTGCTGATAGAATATGACCAGAGGTTCCGCCAGCTCATTGGCTGCTGCCTGTAAAGTCTTTGGTCGAATGTTATCGACAACAGGAGAGCTATGGATACGCAGGGACAATAGTTCCTTTGAAACACTTCCCGCAGTGAAAGTAATATTGGATAAAGCTGATGGTGGGACAGTAGAAACAGCGAAAACCGTTGAACCCGTTACTCGCTGGAATGTTTGTGAGTAATGGAACCGTAAGTGATCGGCTGCTGCGGTTGCTGGTCGCGTGCACCCGTCAGTCGTAGTCAGTGCTGGAAATCCGCGTTACACCATGCGAAGGCCATTAACATGCTTGTATAAGTGTTGCCGATTCGTGCGGAATCTCCTCATTAACTCCTGCTGATGCGTCACCTTGTCCTTGCGGATCAAACTCACGCAGAATTTACGCTACATAAGCAGTACAACTTTCGGAATCTGGGCAGCCAGTGAGCTCTCCATGCTAAGTCCCTCAAGGACATGCATTTCCGTGTTCTGCTCCTCAGCAACCACTTGCTTCTCCTTTGAAGGTAGAAGGATTTCTTCTCGGACTCGTGCGTTACTAGTGTGGCAAATGCCCTTGTGAAAATCTCTCAGACGATTTCTGGGGGCATTCAGTTATGAAGGTTCAAGGTACCTCCTTAACAAGCACGGATAACATAATGTAGTGAGTGACCATATATACTTTTTCGTCCTATTCCTCGGGATATTCCGCATAACATACATAGTTAAATAGTAGAGTCACATGGTCACTGCGACCCAGTGGTGTGCTTGTAATTATTCTGTCTACTACGAGTTTTTCGTCGGTGAGCACAAGATCAAGGCTTGTTAGCAGTTCGCCATCTGGTAGGATAGATCACGTGGTTGTATAGAGGGCAGCTGGTAATTACCTATTGTAAACAGGTTTTAAACTACATGGTATTTGGCTCCGCTATTTCCAGATCGTGCACATTAAACACGCGTGCGATGAGAACGCAACAGTATGTCTTGCTCAAAGCAACTTGAAGAACGTGCTTTACTTTGGAGTCCATTTCACATGTGGAGTTTGGTGGACGGTAAATCACAGCTGTAAGGTATGTGTCTGTTCCGCAACCACAGGCGGCACCAGAGTGAATCTGAGGCACGGATCTCTGGGTGGCCCATAAGTTCACCTGGATACTTAACTTTTTAATACAGAATTACGCCACCACCTCTTCCAGCTCGGTCATTCTGGCGCAGTGGTATACCAGGTAAATTGACTTCAGGGTCTGCTATTTCAAAGCTTAACCAGGTCTCCGTAATCGTAATGAGATTCTGCGGCTGTGATCCCTGGCGTTCTCTAAGTTCAGCCTACTTACTAAGAAGACCTTGGGCGTTAGAATACAAACATGATAGTGCTTTGATGTTATAAATGTGTGGGTGGACAACAAATTCGTGTTTAATTTTAAGCCGACCGTTCGTCGGTCGGCCGCTAATAATCTTTTGCGTGGGTCATTGCTTGTTGAATTTTGGACTGAATGCATGGTAGCATGGCGCATTCCAGATAGAGATGTTCTACCGTCAGATCTCGCTAATGTCATATTGTCTGCAACACTGCAGGATTGTGGAGGCAAATATATTGTTGAGATTGCATGTTCCAATGAAGTGCTAAAAACTAGTGGCCATCCAACTGCTATCTGTAGTCTAATCTCGGTAGGCAACCAGGAACGATGCTTCAGCCAGCAATCTAATAGGACTTCTGTCATTCTATCAGAGTGTAGCGCAAGTTTCAATAATTTTGGACCACCGTCCTTGTAGTTTGGACATGAAGGAATTCTCATTACTGATTTAGCGATAACGTGGTCCAGAAAGTGCTTCGCTAACTTGACCTTTATTGTGCCAGAGCTTGACTCAGGAACGTTAGTGCACACGACCGTTAACGCACTGGGGTTCTGGTTAACGAATGTCAGTTTGAGTGTTGTGGCTAGTGACGGATTGATTGGCGGGCACTAAAGAACTTTGGGAAAACTGCGTCACATCGGTCGTGCTTGGTCCAGAAAATGAACGTACGGGTGTCTCTTTGGGCGTTTTATCGAGGCGATCGATGCGTATGCTATCCGGCTCTGGACTGTCGGTGTCGGTGTTTTGACCAAGTCGTGAGATATGACATCTAGAGATGAGTTAATAGCGATTGGCAAGCCTGACTTTACCCTTCGACAAAGGGAAAGAGCTCTGAGAGGTTTGCTGCACAGCAAGATCGGTGTTGTTAGATTCTAATGGCAAAGACCTGAAGCTCGCCAATTGCTGGACTGTTTCAGTCAGTTTCTTTACACTTTTTCGCTAGCGACATTGGGATTGCTTTGCATGTTTGGCAAAACCAGTGCGAATCGGTCAGTTTGATGTGCCGCTTGTATTGTAGTTGGATTGAACCAGCACAGAGGGGGCGAAACGGAAAGCCTCAAAATTCACAAATAATATCCCGTTTAACTGTACGTATACAGTTCTTCTTGTCACATTTGCGGTTAGGTGGAGTCAGTTCCACTGAGGGCCGATTTTGCAAACGACGCTACCCTTGTCTGGTCACTTGAGGTAGAGGGTGAGTGACGCTCGCGTTCTCTGTCCCAGCCGCACTCTCTACATCGGTTACCTTGGCCATGTGCACGCTGAGACCACAGGTACACGGGGTTTGGCTAGCTTATTGATCCACACTGGTTCCTTTAAGAAAAGCCGTTGGAATTGTATCCAAGTGGGTTAATGACAGCGAAAATTACCGGCGATTGGCGAATGCAATTGAAACCACAGATGGAGAAGTAGTTTCCTTAGATGTGATCCTATGGATGTATTTTTAGGACCACAAGCTAGCGCGAAGAATCCTTGATCGTACTCAGTATCGCAGTAGTAAAAACTGTTAAAAACAAAAGAGTGGCGCATCTTGATAGATGATGGTTGATGATGATGAGGATGATGCTGATGGATGATGCTGCTGCTGCTGCTGATGATGATGATGATGAGGATGATGCTGATGATGATGATGATGATGATGATGATGATGATAAGCGGTAAATCAGGAGAAGTAGCTTCCGTGAGGCAACATAGCCATTTCGTGCTTGCTTATCAATCGCCCTCCACGCCACAATGACAGGTAAACCAACAACTACATGGTCTAAGAAATCGCGAGTAGCTAGGCGTTTTCTCCAGCAGATTAGTCTTAAATCCATATTTCGGAACAAACCGATCTTCATTGAGGTACCTTTCAAAATCAAGCATGGTGTGACGGTGGCCGAAAAACGGATAAGTGTTTCATTCGAAAGAGCGTACAACGCGGCGGTACTGCGGCTGTTTACACCGACATGACCTATGCTGTTTTCCTCGATCAAGACATTGACCACGAGGTACTGCATGTCTGACCAGCTACATAAATTCCTGTAGCCTTGGAGGCAGCTATGCTGGGCACACTGACCGACGTCTAGGTGTCAGAACCAATGAACACATCCCCAAGTGTTTATGCAACTGGGTTAGGTCGGTGAGGACGAGATCAGTTGAATTGGGAAACCGAGCTGCTTTGGCAGTCACAAATCACTGGTTTACTACTTGGCACCGAGCCAGTCCTGATGAGTCGTTCACACTCCTATTGCGTGATCTGGGCCCCGAATTCATAGGCCCACTGGTTGACATCGTTTTCCATCATGAAAGACAGGCGCTGTGCATTCAAATATAGTTGGCTGCAGCCTTAATTCCACTCCAGTAGTGCAAATGCTTTGTTATTTACGATGTTTTTGACATTGTGGTTGTTCGTTCACCTATCATTGTTGCATGTTTTGTGGTTGATAAGGGGGCACAAAACGTCGACCTCATCTCACAACCTACGTCTTCTGATTTTCCTGTTCGGAATTAAAAGAGGAACTTTGTGTTTTAACCATCAGCTATAAATAGTTCTTCTGGAACTATACTAAACTCAAATATCAAATCATCGAACGCCATTCAATAGCAATCTTGGCTATTTCTTTAACGTGCAACTCTTGTTTTGCTCAGGTTAAACAGCTCAGTATGGGTGTGGCCAATATTTGTACCTACTTATCTCACTGGGGCATGCGGCAAACGAAATTCCATTGTGACGACATGCTCAACTCCGACTTCAAAGGTTTCGGTAGATAATGTCCTCCGTGATTCATGCAGGTTCCATTAGCAGGGTAACGACATTCTTTTTCACGTTATAGTCTAGCCGATGAAGGATGGTAGAAAACCATTAACCATCTAACACTAGAGAGCAGAACACACGAAACGCAGACTAGATCGCTCGCTCAGATATGTGTATACATAGGCCTGCGCAGTCTCGTCTATGAGGACAAACAAAGATGAGTGCACTTGGATTAATTTACGTGTAGAACAATTTTGGGGATGGAGCACAACACAGCATCCGGGAAAACAACAGTTGGAAGAATTGCTGTGGCATGTAATGGATGGGAGGCATATGCGGGAAAAATCCCACTGGAAACAAAGTCCGAACTCCAGAAACACCTAACTCAGTACAACATTCCACAGTCCATTCTTCTGTAACTGTTCCATGTAGATCGACCGATCAGCAATGACTGGGCTTCGACCTTTTGAGCAATTCAACTAGGCATATAACTAGGTGTGAGCAATGCATCAAGCTGCGCATTCACTTGAGTGGCTCATTGGGGGGAGGGGCGTCAAACTGACGGCCGCAGTTCTCCATGGAAGAGCGTTTTTGGTATAGCTTTTGCCGTTTCCTTCGTTTCATACAATCATTTAGCAACTTTATTTAAATGGATATATTTTGCTGTCCTCAGGTCTGACCTGGAGGTGTTGCGGTGTCCAAGTCCACCCGTTTGACTAGGGTGCGCAACCGGCCAGTCGAATGTACGCAAACTCAACTAGTCACTGTGTAGCGTAACAAGACTATATAAAGTAGCAGATGTGAGGCCAAAATGGCTCCAGTCGAAGGCTAAATGTGGGTCCGCCGAATGTAACCGATTAGTCCGATTCGGTTTACCTTGCTCAGGCTGTTTCAAATGGTACCATCCAAAAGGTAAAACTCTTTCACAACAACAAGTGAGAGCTCAAAACAGCTCCCAAGACGATATGTGGTTTTGTACTGCGTGCCCGACCATCGTGCTGGTCAAATGTATACTTCTCCTAGTCCAAAAGTGAAAGCCGTTAACAGAAGAAGTTGAACAACGATCGAACTCAGATTACATCACTTGAAGCGAGTATGCAACATGACAACACAGTGGCTTCCAAGTGGAGCATCGGGGCTAAATTTGCTTCGCTTGAACCACGATTGACAAGGTCCCCTTTGCAGGTATCTGCTTTAATTTTGGAAGTACATTAGGCGAAAACAGATCATAGCTCTGATGGACAAGCGGCTCTCATGAGCCCGAAATTCAGGCGCCAGTCGAACCGCCTGATCGATCAAATTCACTCGGCCTTGACAACTTGCGTCATTAAAATGGATGGGAAAGCCAAATCCTAGTCTACTGCATCTGCAAACCACGGGTCTCTTGTCGAGTTCAAATCCCCTGAGACTGCAGTCACGTATGCAGAGATCGTTGCAAAAGTCCCTCGGGGTGCTACCTTTAGTGTCTCCTCTGTTGCAAACACCGTTAACGCTAATAGAACAACAAACGCTGGACCAGCATCACTTGGCATAAAGCCTGGCCGCAGATCACCCGACGTTGCAGTTCAACAAATGGGGCTCCAATAATAACTCTCTGACTATCGTGTGCACCAATGTCCCCGATTCTACCGCCATCACATTGCGGGGTAACGTGTCTGACGATCAAAACCAGCATAACGCTGGAATGGACCGTTAAATTAGAAAAAGCTTTGCCATCTGCAACTGCGTAACAACACGGGCCTTGTTAGGTAGGCATCTATCCTGAATTCCCTTGGAGCACGCCACAATCTAAAAGAAACATCACAGATGGACATAGCTAGCTGGATTATCTAGGCGCCAACTTTATTTATGGCCTGCCAGAACTTGCTTCCCACGATAGTCTTGAGACCGGTAATCACGATTTGGAACAGTGGCGGTTCACTCGTGAAACAACTTCCTTAACAACCACTTGGTGGGACGCGTATGGATTGAGGAGCAGGTGCATCCTGAGCCGAAGGATGCGCTTGTGCTACTACTGTACAAGGGCGAAGGGTGCAAACAATATTGGAGGAATTATTGTGACAACAACTTGCTGAGTTATGTGTGCAAGTTGGTTGCCCGAATCCTGTCTAACGCCTCGTCAGTCAGGTTGTGGAACCGAAGGTGGCGGAGAAGCAGTGTGTATTTCGTTCGGGTCGCACCACCATCGAGATGGTATTTGTGGATCGTCAGTTGCAAGTGAAGTGCAGAGAACGACACCAGCCATTGTGATCGCTGTTTGTTGATGTCACCAAAGCATTTGATACGGTGAAGCGCGAAGCGTTGTGGCTGGTGTTGGATAAAGTTGGTTGCCCTAGTAACTTTGTAAGTTTAATTGAATGTTTGCACAATGGTATGCGGGCGACAGTGCAGCTGAGTGGGCAGACCTCTGATGACTTTGCAGTTGTCTCTGGTGTGAAGCAAGGTTGTGGCTTAGCTCATGCCCTGTTTAATATTTACTTACCTTCAATGCTATCTTGTACTTTTTATGCTGCTTGCGCTTACAGTGTTCGTTTGGAAAACCGTATTGATGGTTGGTTACTGACCATCCGTCTTTACGGTGCGAGAACCCTAATCTGTGAGACAACTATCTACAAGGCGCTGTTTCTTTACGACTGCACTTTGTTTGCTCACAGTGGAGACGAGTTGCAGCACATGACTAATACTTTGGCTTCGACAGCAGCCAAATTCCGGCTCACCATCAACACAATCAAGACGGTTTGTCTTTTTGCCTTCACCCGGAAAGGAGTGTGTCTGCCCGAAAATCCAGCTTGTCGCCGAAGTCTTGGAAACCACTCAGAGATTTTGCTACCTTGGGAGCGTAATACCAACTCACCTGCAGCTGACCGGCGAGCGGCGGAATTGCGTGTCTAAGGCGGCTACCGCATTTGGCAAGCTGGAATTCCGTGTGTGGAGCAACCACCGGCTCACCTTTGGGACGAAGCTGCTAGTATACTAGCCTATGTTGGTGTCTGTTCTTCTATACGGAAGCGAAACCTAGTTGCTTTATCGGAAGCATATCCGTTAACGAAAGCGATTTCATCAACAATATCCGTGTCGTATTATGTGCATCGGCTGGATTGACCGCGTTGCAGACACGGATGTGCTCCGACGCAGTGGCATGTATGCAGCGGACTACATACTATTACTGCGACATTTGAGGTAGCTCGGTAATGTGTGACGCATGGATTCGACGCGGATACTGAAGCAGCTATTAGATGGTCAGCTGAATGTTGGGAAGCAGCACGTGAGAAAACCGAAGCTTCTTCACCAGGACGTGATCAAAGTGAGCTAATCACCTACTAATTTTGAGTTCAGGTGTTGGGAATAGAAAGCGGTTGATAGGCGATCATGACGCGATCTGCTCACATAAGCAGATGCCGAGGTGCAAGAGAAAGCATTCGTGAATGCAGAGAAGAAGCGGCAAATGCGTAAGCGGCAGTCCCCGATGGTGTGTACCCCATCTACGTCTAGCGTATGGTGCTGTAGCACGTGCGGTCGCGAGTGTCTGAGTCAGGTTGGCTTACTGAGTCACGAGCGAGGCCACTCGGGACTAACATCGTAAACTCGATGTGTGCTGCTGAGAAGGTAAGCAGAACCGGCGCAGCGTTGGTAGGTATGCTGCATTCGATTTACTAACGTTGTGCTTGCGGGCTGAGTCTCTTAATTTCAGGTGGTGGGTTTATTATCCTGTCTTAATGCTTTTTACCTTTCTTAACGTCTACTTGAATAATGTTCAATTAACTTACTCACGTCGCTTAAGGTAATTATGGTTAACTTCGGTAACATTTTAGTGTTTGTGTCATCTTACAAACTATCTTTTGACATCTTTAACTTAGTGAGGATTTGTTGATAGCCAATTTGTTACGCATGCTAACTTTTCGAAAAGTTACGTCGGCATATCTATGTCGTATCTGATTCATTTTTTGCTGTTGCTTGACATCCCCGGTGTGGTTGCTCTTGACGTGTAATGAGACTAGGTGCCTACCTATCTATTACACACCACCTCCTCTATACTGGCTCCAGAAGACAGGTGGTCGTTTCTGGACGGGATGGGTTGCATGACCTTCGTGATCGCATTAGGCTTGAAGAGTTGTTCCATGCACTCACTGTAGAGCGGACTATGGTCCAGCCACCGTCTTGTGTGCGCTTGATTCCCCAGATACAGTGTGTTTGCGTTTGCCTCTGAAGATGTGTGCTAGCTCCGTTGATGGAACGTGGCTCTCATTCACATGTCTCCCGGTCTTATTCCCTCGGGTTTAAGCTGGATATGGGGTGTGTGGATGTAGCTGTGGCTGGTGCAGCGCAAGCCACCCATGATCCCTGTTTAGACACAAGCTTCCAGTGGCTATCGTATGGAGGTCGCAGAGACAGGCAACTCCCGAACAGGATGTCAGCAACCAGATAGACATATGTATACTTTTATGCATAGATATTGAGCGATTGAAAATCATGGAATGAAGATGCATGAAACTTATACTTTTCTCAAATTTAAAACATAATAATTATGATTACTGTATTGTATGCTCCGTTCAGTTAGCTCTTATGCTTGATTAATTAGGGGTTTGATCAGTGAAATCAATGTAGAGGCTTATACAAATCTTCCATATGCCACGTTGCCGTTCCATTTTCTCAAGTGTCTCCTACCAACGATGTTCTTCATCTCTGAGTCCTCATGCCGAAAAACGTACACGACCAATAACTGCTAGACCGGATCTTAACGCCTTGACGTTATTTTCCATGCGTTATTTTGACCAACGTGCTATTTTTTCTGTTGGGCCGTGCGCGAGAGAATAGAGCGCGCCGTGTTAATCACTCACATGGTATGCGATGAATGTGACCCGTAGTATCCAGAAGCGACGTCAAACATCGACTTTACAAGTGTATGGTGTTCCTACCATACACGAGCTATCCTACGAGGACAGCAACTGTTAAAAGCCGAACTGCGGGCGTAAATCATTTACACAAATCAGCCAAGTTGCACTATTGTACAACAGTACCTCGCCAACACTGTCATTGTAGATGCTGCCCTTTACCGAGAATGAAACGTTATGAAGACGCCACAGATGACTTAGATCAATGCAAACCGACTGAGCATTGCAATAAGAAGAATCTCTCTTCAAAAAATGCCATTAGAAGAAACGCGATCCTAAGCCAGATAAAGCAATCTACTAGCTCTACCTGCAAGCCTTAAAGGTGGATGCTAATCCTAGATTAGGACCTTCCATTTCGATGGAGCGAATGGAAGGCTTTACATGGTAACTTCAATCATCAAGCGGTTTAGATCGAACTGCGAAACCTGTGGGTCGTCACCGAGCAAGGCTATCTCATCAGAGTAGTCCAAGTCAATATTGTGGCTGCCCGGAAGAAGGACTATGCGCTGGAGACGTTCCAGAGCGCTTAGTAGGACAGGAACAATTGCACAATCGGAGAAACGGGGACATAAGGTATCCCTGTCACACATCGCGTGTAAAGAAATGGTGTATAGAGCCTAACGTGAGATCTTAGTCCGCCAGTGACATTGTTGTATAAAGAACGAAGCTTGACGGTATACTTTCCGGGCGCTCCATTCCTTTACATAAAACGCCATAAAGCAGGTTGATCGACCTAGTCAAACGCATCTTTGATGTCAGAAAAGAAGACAACGGTAGGCTCGTGATAGGTGTGATGCTGCCCGAGGACTTGGCGGAGCGTAAACATGTGGTTCACATACCCTCGACCGGAGTGGGAACCAGCATGTTTCTCGAATCGGTGTTTGTCTGCGCACTAGAACGGCTGATAGCAACTTGGGGGCGAAGGTGAGCTGACCGATTCCTCTGCGGTTGGCGCATGAGAAACGAGTACTCTTCATGAAGATGAGTACGATGATTAAATCTTCCCAAGAGGATGGGTCCTTTTGTTCCCACGAGACCTTGGAGAATGGAGTTGTTAACTGGTCGAAAATCGCCTTGTTACCGTACTTGAGCAGCACTGGATAATTTCGCCTGAGCCAGCAACGTTGAATTGCCTCAAATTACGAAGCTCAAAGCAGACCTCCATTTCGTTGGGCGGTTCTGGTGAAACCTTCCAATTCGCGCAGGTGTGCCTGCTTGTTGCGCAGGCAGAAGGAGGAGCTCAACTGAATTTTGATTGAATTTCGCATCCCGGGTCCTGAAGAGAACTTATGCAGCACCGGCGCAGCGTTTGTCTGTACGATGCTTTTGATTTACTAACCTCGTGCTTGCATTTTAATTCTCTTTGTTTCAGGTGGCTGGTCTGCACTTTTGGCCTAATATTTTTCTTTCTCTTGTTAATGTCTACCAGAATTATCTTCTATAAACTTGCGCACGACGCTGGATCTAACTGTATTTAACTTCGCTTATATTTTCTCGGATGTTGCCTATTTTCAAATATATTTTCTGACGTCTTCAACTTTTCGCGGATTTGTTTGATACCAATTAGTGCTATATGCTCATTTATTGAAGATTTATATCACCCTGTCTGTATGCATTATTCGCTTTATTTTCTTTGGTATCGTCGTCTCAAGTTTTTGCTGTTGCTTTAGATCCCCAGTATGGCTGCGCTTGATGTGCATGTTGACAAGTTGCTTACCTGTCTATTACCCACTACCTCGTCCATACTGGCTCTAGGAGACAGTTGGTTGTTGCTGGAGGGGACGGACTCTAAGGTCCTTGTAGCCACCTTAGGATCAAAGAGTGGTTCCATGAACTCAGCGTGGAGCGGACTATGGTCCAGCCGCCGTCCTGTGTGCGATTGATCCCATATATAGCGTCCTTGTGTTTGCCTGTGAAGCAGTTTGGTCGGGCTCCGTTGATGAATCACGGCTCTCATTCTGTCTCCCGGTCTTATTCCTTGGGGTTTAACCTGGATACGGGGTGTGCTTGGAGCTGTGGCTGGTGCAGCGCAAGCCACCCATGGTCCCCTTTGTAGGCGCAGGCTTCCTGTGGCTGGTCACAGTGACACCCAAATCCGAAACCGGATGCCGCCAACCGTATATATATATATATATATATATATATATATATATATATATATATATATATATATATATATACATATATATATATATATCATTCTGAACGCATAGACATCCATCCATTGCATTCTATGGAAAATAACGAAGTAACAGAAGAAACGAATGCACTGTTATCTTTTGTCTTCCCTTCACAAGCCGTTTTGCATCTTTCCTTTGCCGGTCAGTGTTGTTCTAATCGGGAGTAGGCGTAGTTCGTACATTATTTTGTTGCATTAGGTTTTAAGGCTTTATCTCACGCATCGTATGCCACTGGTGTTCTTCATCCTTTGCAAGGCGATGATTTCATGCACTGTCTCCATGTGGCCGGCTAGTCTCCACGCGGCCTCATCGATTGCGGCCCTGCGAGCGCATATAAGGCGCGGCGTGGTGGACGCTCGTTAGACACGCAGAGGATGTGGTCAAGCCACCTAAGTTGGTGTAACCAAGTACGTTCGCATTGGAGAAAATCGTCTTGTCCATGACGCAGTGTCTGACATCATCACTGCGCACTCGATATTGTCACCATAGACGGGTTATCCACCACAGGCAGTCACTGTCAAAGACCGAAAGCCTACACAAGTCACCAGGCGGTCAGGATTCACATGCAAATAACAGCGTTGCGCGAACATGGGTATTTTGGACCCTAAGCTTTAACGCGAGGGACATGCCGCGACAAAGGCACAAGTGCTTCCGGTTGGCAAAAGCCAATCGGGCTTTCACAATGCGAAGGATACTTCCTCTCTAGTAGTGCCGTCATCAGAAATGTAGCTCCATAGGTGGACAAAACTGCTCACGTATTCGCTCTGTATGTCTTCGATGGTGAGCTGAGGAATGAACGATTACCAATCTCGTAACAGCACTTTACTCTAGGATGGGGCAAAGCGCATACCATGCATAGAAGATTCAACCACTAATCGGTCAAGAATCGTATGATTGAGTTGCCTAGAAGAGCACTTTTTAGTGTAGAAAATGACTGAGTTTTATTCGTGAAGACAAAAGATAATTGCGTATTTGGTCTGGTTTCCAATTTCACCATATTTGTTAGACCGAGAGATTTGATGAATGCTGTGTAACTGTTGTTGAAATCATTAACAATGATACAAAAGCAGTTCTCAGTTTTAGGCAGCAACGCTGGGCAAAAATAATCAGCAAACTTCTTCAACTCAACCGGTGATGTGTCAGGAGCTATATGGACATTTCCAATGACTAAATATAAACCACTCAAAAACTTTGGTTTATATTCAATGAAATGGCAGGTTGCCTTTGACGTTGAATTTGTAAACAACAAGGTCATCTATTTATACCAGAGTTCGTTGATGTAACTGAAGGCGGCTCCTCCACAATTATGCCGCCTTCCAGGTCTCTCTGTCCGTATAATATGGTAGTCACTGAGATGGATAACCTGTTCCTCAACATCAGGATGGAGCGAAATTTCTTAAAGCATCACGGCACCTGTGTTTGCAAATTCCTTCTGCAGCATACTGGTAGGAAACTCAGTGATGATGCCGAGTAGAGAGCGCACATCGCTGGCGAGAAGCAGTTGAATTTGTTCTCTATCTGCAGGACAATGTCGAGAATAAACTTATCCAGTATATATATATATATATATATATATATATATATATATATATATGCGTACGCAGCTCCTATGGCAAGGAATCTGGCATCCTTAGTTTAATATTGCCCATCTAGTTCACTCTAATAATAGACCACCTTGCTTCAAGCGCCACTGTGTCAAATATCTTCAAAGCTTAGCTAGAGTACAAAATGTACCAAATACAATTGATTCCTTGACAAGTTGGATTATGCATTGCTCCATTAAAAACAGTTGCCCACTCACCCTCAAAATTACATCAGCAGTGCGCCGATACCCAGTACCGACGCTTTGCTGCCGCGCAATTACCACAAGTCGCGCATGGGCTAATGCTACTGCGACGGTCGCCCGGTTCTTGAGCCGGTTCGAACTCCTGATTCGCGGGTTACATTTCAGGCTTGTGGTCAGTAGGTTCACGAGCCGGCCTGCACACCCTATGACCAAACATCATTTGATGGATTTACCCGCTTTTAAACTAGATTCTAGTTCTGAAAATGAATTTAAACCTAATTAGTAACCCCGAGGTCTGCGAGCAAAAAATCACAAGTAGGTGCATTCTCATGTCTTTTTTTCTTTCCACAGCTTAGGGGATCCCTGTTATTCTCAGCTGCATTGAATCACGCAGAATTACCCTTGGTTTCATCCCCAAATCCGTCTGGCAAAGCTATCTTTGAAGGTAGTCATTTCTATTCTGAAGGGTGAGTTACAATACTGGCTCTATTAGGTATCACACCTCTTTTGGCAAAAGAATTGCATTGCATGTGCGACGAGTACAGAGCACTAAATAAATCCAATGTTGTAGAATAGTTAAGCGATTCGCTGTTGCAGTTCCTACAGTTTTGTTCCGGCCACTACTGACCGGTTGCTGCCAGCGCCAAGCATTACATTGGTCCAAAAGGCACTAACCGAACGGCACCGATCTACACGCTATTCCTTTTTGTCGTCAGAGTTGTAGGTTAAAAATTGGATCGCGAAGTCAAGCCTGCCCTATAGATGTTATGACTGGTGTTGGCATTCAAACGGACCTAAAGAAAAATGCCATTTACTTGGTTCATCAGAAGAATAGGGTTTCTGGAACGGTACCATATGCTATAAAACAGACAATCCATTGGGTCTATGCATGTAGCGATGACGAGTACCTGGTGATTTTGCCTACACCTCCTACAGTACGTGCTGGGTAACCAGTCCTCACAAGCAAGCTGAACCTTCTCCACATTATTAAACAGTGTAGTAAACAGTGAATAAGTGAAAGTTTAATATCTTCATTGGCGGATTATTTTCAAGCACTCGTTATGGGAATGGAATGTGTCTCACAAGCCCAATGTGGACCACGAATCCACTAAAGTATATGTTGGTCAGTTCGATATATGGGACCGTAGCTTATAAAGCGGAGAGATATTAGGTGTCTCCTACCCAAAAACACTGCACTTCGTCATCACTTTCGCCCTTAGTTGCTCTCATCAGGTAGAGATAACAGGCACCGAACTTGGGATCGTTGGAATATTCACGAAACCTTTTCCCTTATGGTTACTGAGCCACGAAGGGCAGTGCTTGGCAAGGGGGTTATTGACTGATTTAATCGCTATTTTACAGTAGACTTTGTGAGCTTGGAATGCGACGCATAATCTCAAGGTGGACGGTGATTCGCACTGAAGTAAAGCTTGATCAAGCCGGTCACTAGGACCGTAGCTAAAAGCGACGGTAATTGGGTGTTGATCACTCGAAAACTTAGCACTTTACGACGTAGTTGGACCTTATCTCTTCCGGTGAAGATCACAGGTCTTGAACTCGATTCCATTGGGATATTAGTTGCAACCTCTGTCCCTAAACCCACGGATCACGGCGGACAACGCTTATCCCAACGATTAATAACTAATGGGACTTTCATTTTAAAATATTCGTTAAGTGAGCATGTTGCGCCAAGCAATCTCAATGTAGACCACGCTAATTATAGATCAAGCAGATGGGGAACAAGCACTGAGAAATGTATCGTATTTGCATTTAAGCATCTACAAACCAAGCATCGCTGATTAAAACACAGAAGTCCCTAATTTGGCGGGAGTCGCACAACAACAGAGACTCGCAAGAGGTAGCTAAATTTCATTGCCTATACTGCTACATGCCGCTACTGGTGCTGACAGGATGATGCTAGATACAAATCGCATAAACTGAACAAAACAAAATCTAGTTGTTGTGCACTCGAACTCAACGTAGTCGCGAAATGAAACAAGTTACAGGTGTGGGGCGTGGCTTGCTCAAGCTCGTTTTGCCGACTCACTTATCGATTCACATGGTTACCGCTCTATTTGCATTGTTGAATTTGATACATGTGCGTATTGCGTGCGCAGTGAAGCCATAATGTGCTACATGAAGCGTAAGAGGAACCGCTGTTCGCAAACCTGCATGGTCCGCCGTTCCAAGCGCAACTAATTGTATGTGTGAGGGGAACAACAGTATCGCACGAGACACCCCGAACGACTTGTACTTCGCCAAAATTTGCACCAATTTGATGAAGTGCCTTTATTGCATTCTTTTAAGTTTTGATATGTCACGGCCTGGGGTTTCGTTTTTCGAGCGAAGTGATAATCTCAGTCAGTATATCGGCCTTGTAGTTGGTTTTTGCTGGAGGTATGATACCCAAGCCGAGAAACAAATTATATATATTATAGTTGTAGTACTAGTTCGGGTAAACGCAGTTCTCTCTCCACCTCAACGTAAGGCGCTTATTTGTAGAAATAAAGATTGGTTGCAGTGTAATGTGTCATATTCAGTGGCGTAACAATTACTTTGCCTCCCGAGCAGATGGTAAAACTTTTACCCCCTTTGGATGAATAGGCGCATGGAGGCCACAAAATGGGTTCAGGGTAAAGTGCCCATTCATTTTGATGAAAATGAACATCTTTTGGGACACTGAGGCAAATGTGGTGTAAGTGGCCAAATGGGACACGGAGGGGGATCGCTGGGAATAATGTTCGCACAGGTTCGGCACATGGCACAAAGATGTTGTCGGTCATACTGAGTCACATTAAAATAATTAAGCCACAGCTTAGCTGGAAATCTGGCCCTTTATATGTGGTATCGAACAAACTGCCGCTGTAAAAATGACACGTAAAGTAACACATGCCGCTCGGGCGAACCACCCTCTTGCTATGTCTCTGACCTTAGTGAATGTCGCCTGCTAATCTTGTCTTATAAGCCCGTTTGGCTGATGCCCTCTTGCATGTTAGCTTTAAAGAAGATTCTTACCTCGAAAGCAGTCTTTCGGAACTGACAACACCATGGGATGAATTCTTCTTCTCATGCAGCGTTTGCATGCTTCTTCCTTTGTTACTCTGTAAACGCAGATGAAATCCCCAAATCGGGATTGCGCACCGGATGACCAAGGCAGCCAATATTATTTTAGCTCTCCGGAGGAGAAGTACGCAACAATTACCAATTCCAACGTGGGAGTATCGTGTGCTTCCAGATCAGCATCCGTCTGTTCAGCAGCAAGCGATTCCACAAATCATGAACGAGGGCGCTGGAAAAGACAAATAGAGTTTATGCTTTCGTGCATTGGCTATTCTGTGGGCCTCGGGAATCTGTGGCGGTTTCCGTACTTGTGTTTGAATAATGGGGGTGGTAAGTTTAATAACACCATGTTGTGTCCATTTCATCGTCGGTAACATTGAATCGCTGCATACTACTTGAGAGCATTATATGAAGATGGCATGTGTTACATTGTGTTCCTCCGTGGATGGTGCCGTACAAGCTTGGTAAGTTTCTTTGAGGGTCCCCATTCTTGCAAGAATTCGTATGTGAATATCCTGAAGTCAACTGCGTGGAAGCATAAGTTCCAGGAAATAACAAACGATCAAAGAACACACAGTATTCTGTGGAAGTTGTATCGCGCTACTTGTGGGATCACACACACACACACACACACACACACACCTGATTGGTGGAAAGTCGTTTTGCGCATCAGTTAAGAGTAGTGACGTAGCTGTTCAATGATAAATGATGGGAAGTTTGCCCCCGTGCATTGAAACAAACACTTATAGGTCCTCGTAATGGGGCTCCACAAAAGGCCTATAGACACAACGAGACAGGATTATGGAAAGATTAAAAGCGTTAGGTTAACGGTGGCATTATTTGACTGGTCGGCATTATTTATAAATATCCTACTGGAATTACTCACGCGGAGTTGGTGTGGCGCGTGCAATACGCAAATGGATGTACCGCCAGACGCTGGCAAGGAAAATACCAAACTTACCTTGATTGACGCAAAATTATGCGTTAGTTACTATGAATTATATGAATTGATTTACCGTGAAAATGAGCTGCGTGTTTTCGTGTAGTAACCAACCTCGCGCTATAACTGTATTGCGTGAAAAGTTCACATTCATATGCAACCTAGTTAACCAACGAATCTAAGGAGAACTGTAGGAACTTAAATAAATGCTGCAGCCACGTATTTGGTCGTTTCTATGGCTAGGGTCGTGAAATAGTCTTGTAATCATCTTATGTTCTGTTCAGCCTATTGCTATATTACGGTTCTCATCCTGTTCACCTTGCAGAGATTGCTAAGCATTATCCTTTTTACTTGGGATATGCTGTTATTCCATTAGCTTAGTAGATCAATTCTTGATTCCAATCTCTAGCTGTCAGTTTAGTTTGCTGGGCGGTTGTAAAACGCGAATAATTGTTTCCTACTGAAAACCTAGCATTGCTGGCATACGGTGAATGAAACAGAGATACCTAAGCTAGTAATTATCCATCTCCACGGGACGAAAATCACAAGTTACAGCAGCCGCAATTTGCCTTGTTCCGTCTGCCTATTGATAGCACGGAAAATGTTAATCATCATTGCTTTCGCACTCTCATTTCAGGTGCATTTCTAGTGCCTTATTTGCTTTATTTGGGGATTTGTGGCATGTCCCTGTTCTTCATGGAGACCGCAATCGGTCAATCCACAGGCTTGAGCACCATACGCATATTCAACATGATTCCGTTTTTCAAAGGTGAGTACCAATGAACCAAATTAAGATCAGTAGGTAAATTTTCCTGAAAGTATAGACCACATGTAAGTGCCAATTTGAATATCCCTCCCAAACCTACCACTGCAACTAAAAAGGTACTACAACGGTACGCTTCCCAGAAAGTATTGCTGTCTCTGGCTTGCCTGTTGTCACAGTGCTTGTTCTAGTTTGAGGCCTGTAGTAAAATTTTAAAACAGAGCATTCATGAACAACAACAGGATACTCAATCCACCGGAGTTTATTTCCATTTGTTTCTTCCAGACTTCATAGGTCAGATCTAATTAACTCTGAAAGGGAACTACATACACGCATTTTAGCTAATACGTTGGTTTAGTGAGTATCGATGTTACGCTTTCGATTAATGATGAGTCGGGTGTACGACGGAATCCCCACATCTTTTTGCCTGTCGGAGCCAACGAGCATTTATTCTATCTGCCAGTAATCTCAAGGCCACTCACGATTTCTGGAATGTAGGCGTATGTCAATAATGCGCAGAGTATTTCGACGAATCATGTGAAAGCTAATACAATGACTCAGCCTAGTAGATGCTTGAACAACGAAGTACCCAAACTTATTACTAGGGTCGGGTACCTGGGCCGTACTACATGGATGATCACATTTTGGTTTGGCTGACCGGGAAGCAAGTTGGAAATACTGAAATTTGTGTCTACCGCGTCCATCGCTAGGAATCGTGTCCTTTGCGTGTATGCAGATATGGTTACGAAATATGATTTGGGAGATACATCGCATAACATTTTAATGGTGAATTTCGACTAGGAGCAAATGAGCGTCAAGTTGTGTCATTTTGCTGTGTGCATGCACACTTAGCTAACATAGCTACTTGGTCAGTACTGTTAAGGTTGCGCTAGAATATAAAGACGGGCTAGATCATTCCTTGTTACTTTTCCTATCGAATAATCTAGTATGTTTCTACTAACTAACAGAAATACGTTATTCGTGCTATGAATGCTCTTGGAATCTAGTCCTTGTGCTAGTGCAAGAAACTGGATGTATTTACTTTGCTTTTTCACCCAGGTCTTGGTTGGTGCATGGTTTTCGCGTCTGCCATCGTCTCGATCTATTACAACCTTATTATCGCATACACATTGTACTACCTCGGCATGTCCTTCAATTGGGTCCTGCCTTGGAGTAACTGTGATAACAGTTGGAACACTGACCAGTGCCTTACCGACCAAACTACTCGCGTAAGTCTAAAGTTGCATATGAACATTTTACTCGTGTTCTGAACACAAAAAGTCAACGTTGTGATGCTTGTATTGACTCGGAACCAAATGCGAACAGAGTTGAAGTATGCAGCCATGGGTCTAGTTTACAGATCACGTGTGTTTGAACCTCAAGCCTCAAATACAGGTATTATATTGGCTAAACCGCCAAAAAAGCATCCGTACTCTTTTGCTTAGCTGACACAAACCGGGTTATACAAAGCGGGCGGAACTATCGACCGCAGTTTAAGGAAAATTGGAGCAAAGATTAGGGTTTTATTTGTAAAGCATGGTGTTGCAAAATGGAGATTTGGCCGCAGGGCAAAGTCAAAGGTTATTATAACAATTTAAAAGAAATAAGGTTAGGTAATATCTAGACATTGGGGGAACTAGAGAAAGTTCACACAGTAGATGTACCACTTAATCTGGTCCTGTGCCACCCCGGTACAGTGACGATTTCTACGTCTGGAAAGCGTGGTTTAAACACATCAGTACGGAATACTTGCTCAGGAGTACACCATTAGCATGCGAGTTCGTGTTGTTTCATACGGTTTCAATGCGTTTACTTTAACGTGATATGTTTGACGACACAAAAGCTGGGCAAAAAGCCGTTAGTTGGATCGATTTTGTGACATTGAATTGTGACCGGAAACTAAATATCAACTTACATTTCCGCATTAAACACCGGCGTAGGTTATGTACAGGTCCATCGATTAAATCATCCTTACCCCTAGGTCAACGCTGTGTACGAGTATGCAACTTACTCACGTTGTTTGAGAAAAAGGTGATTAGTACAATAGCTATTTTCACAGAGTTCATCTACGTCGTACAGCCGTGCGTTGTTTTGTCATGCCCAAAAGTTCGCTACATTCTTTGGTAGATAAACTCACGAAGGTATTTTGGACTCATGCAGCTTAATGTTTTGGGTGTTATTACGAATACCAGTGTTCAGTAACCAGAATTCATTGCGCTGTGTTTTAGATCTAGTTGTTAGTACCATCTGTGTAGCCTTATTGGCAAATTTCATGTCATTCGGATTACAAAAGATAAAACGACTAGTTTGAGATTTATTCGAAGGATATGCACTATCGCGAGAATGCTTCGTACCGAATAGTTCATGCGATTGACTATAGAAGTGTGAAGAAATCATTCGTGTAACGTTCAACCTCAAGATATATGATTACAAAATATGCTTCGTCTTTTTGACGCCTCTGAAAACCAAATAATTTTTATGGAGTAGTAAGTTGGCATTTGAGTTGCAGTTTTGATTGAATTCAACATTCACGCAAAAACAGCTGCTACACATCTGTGAAAGCACTGGGCGGCCGTTTCATCCTTTTTGTGGAATTGTCAGCACTATGTATACACCTCCGAGATTGAGACCACCTGATCGCCACCTGATTTGACCCATCAATCTTCCCAATGATGCTCAATTCCTACGTGCACCCGCAAGTTGAGTACGCAATCCAAGCCTGGCAACCTTGGTTGAAACGTGACCTAGAAGCGATAGAGGCACCACAACGGAGAGCAACAAAGAACGTGAAGGGCCTGCGGTATCACTCTTACCACCGAAGGCTGAAGTTGCTGGGAATTTTCAGCGGACGCTATCGAAGGCTGCGCGGCGATCTCAAATTAGCGTATCAAATATTGAGTGACCCCAACCACGTATGCCGCCATTTGCTGAAACTTGGCCACAACACGCACCTCAGGGGTAACTGCTTAAAGTTGAAGGAACAATATAGCCGTCTAGAGTGTCGACGGAAGTACTTTTCCCTTCGAGTTTGCAAACCATGGAACGCACTCTCAGACTCAGTAGTATCCTCTCCTACCCTGGATGTTTTCAAAAAACGATTAGATGTTGCCCTCAGCTCCCAACATTTTGTTACCTAAGCTTCTCTGTTGTGGATTACGCCAAGCATGTTCTCAACAGGACTAATGTATCAAATGGACCTAAGTGAGCGACCATATTTTATTTTCTCACTCCTTACCTCAACTATCACTGCGCCCCAGTGTCTTTCTGAACGTTTACGCGCGATATTTCTTTTTCATTTCACACTGATGTTAATTATCAAAGTATTCATCTCGGCAGACGTTCGATAGATGACCCACACATATTTTAATTGCCTCATATTCACCGCTACCATCCTACGGGACATGTCAAGCACTTGCTTTTATCTCGTGATAAATCATTGTTCATTGTTCATTGGTGACAGCCATCGTGACAAACTAACTGGTACTCACACTGGAAATCACACAGTAAAACTCGCGGCAAGACGAAATGGCTGCACAGAGCTTTTTCAGACTGCGGTGATTCTCTAAATGAGTGGGGTTGTAACGGATCTCCATCGCGAATAAAAGCAGCCATCAAGTGGAATCAACTATCGACGGGGTACTTACTACAGTGGCCCAGGCTTGAATGACGCTGACGGATAAATTGGACTCAACGTACCGGGGACAGTGGAAGGAAATACCCCCCAAACTTAACTGTTGCTAAATGGACTTGATTGACCGCACATTTGTCAGTTATAATGCCAGCATCATATGTGAAGTACCTTGGGCATTAGACAGTAATCAGCGACATGTATGGCACTGTGGTAGAACGGTGGTAAATGTTAGATTGGGTAATGTTAACCCTACTAATGGCAACAGAAATTAAATGAAGTGTGAAGCATAAAAACCCCAAATTTTAAGGAGTACAGAGTAGATAAGGTACTTTGGACATTCGTGAGCAAACACTCTTTACTAAATTCCAGCGGAATACGTTGTTTGATAGGTGTCCCCAAACCATACCTTTCTGTGGGTTATAATCAGTACTCCTAAACTCTAGTTGCACTTCCGCAACGCGCACTCATGTATACCATACAGTCGGCGTAGTAACCTATTATCTCGTATTGTGAAGTCCAGCAGTTTTCCAAACCGAGGAGATGAAGTGGTCCTTCAGTGCACTTTGTCAATCCCTGTCCATTAATTCAGTTTAGAGCTATTTGAACCTTTCAATCTAAACGAACTACGAACCTCAAGCATAGTGCACAGTTTATAATACAATGAGTAAGGTTTATAACGATATGATAGCATTTATTCGAAAACAATTCAGAAAGATTTCATTCGTCTCTCGATGTTATTTTTGCTAGAAACAAAACATTGCAGCTAGGAGTAAATACAGTTTATATTTAAACTGCTAGAAGTAACGAGACAACGGCTGGCAGTATTTTGAGCGCATCTACTATACACAAAACTCTCAGTAGTGAAGGGGATAATTATGCCCGGCCGAAAATATCGAACAGCGCTGCAACCCAATTTGTAATCGAGTTTATCAGGCTTGATTTGCTCTCGAAACAATGTAGAAATCGACGGTGACGGTAAGCGTATGGCAGTGCAAGACTTCCGTAAAGATGGCATAAACAATTTCCAACATAGCGAGATAATCTAGCAAGGTACCAGTGCTTGTTGGTAGCGTAATCGTGCTTAAAAGTATACCTGGTGATTCAAGGCAGTGAGCCAGCGGCTCGGTTAGAGGAGAGGAGAATTGAATAACGCCTTTTTAAACAATTCGTTGTTATCATACAGAGACTTTCACTGGCACACCGGAGATGCCAAATATGATCACTGAACGAATAAAAGTAGCTATTATTTTCCGAAGATAACTACTCAATCCGCCTGGTGTTAGGTCTACTTTGTATGCCGATAATACCGTGAAGGTGTTAAACTAATAGACATTTTCCTCATGATCCCTGTTACTATGGACCTTTTCGTATCCTCAGAACGCATCGAACACATTTGATGCCTTTGTATATCCAAAGGAAACGTCAATTTCAAATCTTACGAGACGAAGCTCCGCAGAAGAATTTTGGCTGTAAGTCCATTTCCACAGTTAGTTGCATAATTCACAATTTCTAGCACTACTGTACCTGTGCGTATCTACTCTTCTTGCTTCGAATCCTAACAAAGGATAGTATCAAGTTGCTAGTTCTAAGTGCATGCATGTAAAGGGTTCTTGGAAATGGTATTCCATTATTACTCTTCTGTTTGGCAAACTTGTATGCGTTGTTTTCAGTAGTCGATTTCTAGCGAAACAGTGTTCACTGAGTGCTAGTTCAAGGCCTTTTCTACATTTGTGTACTGCAAGGAAATGCGAATAACTGCTTAAGTAGGTTCCAAACCCACTGATTCCAAGAGAGCCAGCAACTGCAAGCTGACGAAAGCGCAGACAATAAAAGGGTGTTGATTAGCTGGTGAAAACGAGCACACTACTTGGCTTCCAAAGTCGAAGATACGAGTGTAATGTGTCAGTTGGACTGTTTGTTTACTGCAGGGAAGTGAAGAGATACAGGTGCTATAAATAAATCGTCATGGGATGTCATAACACAGCATATGAATTCCAGCCTAAGAATTAGCTTTTTGGAGCTGCCTCTGATGCTCCATCAAGTACCATTGTCTCCTTTTCAACCAAAGTTAACTCCTTACACATAGCTTACGGAAGTAGACACAGAGCGATCAAATGTTTGTAGGGGCAGATGAGGCCACTTTTGGTCAAACACATGTCTAAACGATAAGAATTAAGAAGGGAAATGTCCGCCACGAGGAAATGGTTACACTTCATGGACCGCAAGTCCCATCTCTCACTGCGTCTGTCGTTGTTCACGAGTGGTCATACTGTCAAAAATTGTACGACGAATCACTCCTTTAAAATTACTTTGAACTTTGTAAAATTCCTATAACCCACGCTAACGGTTGCACTCTATGGCAAGGTTTGTTCTTGTTTTTAAGTTTCGAGCAAGCATAACAAGCCTTGGGAGTGGAATACAGCGCGTAGCATTTCATGGCTACCTCCTTCATAATTAGGTCACTGTTCTGCTCGGAAGGTGAAGGATTCACTGTTGGGTCTCAGTGTACCCACTGTGTATTTAGTTTGGGTCATGGCAGCTGCATCCGGATCCTGTTCTCCTTTGAAGCAAACTTTGACGACTACAGTTACTGGACATGGGGTGTGTAGATGGATATGTGGGTGGTGCAGCGCTAGCTACCCATGGTCCCTCTGCTGCTGCAGACGTCCTGTGGCTGTCCTATGAAGACCACAGTGACAGTCAAATCCGGACACGGATGCCGCAAACCATGCGCGGTGCGGAGGGGCTTCAGTGTTATTCGTTCCCATCATTGCACTCCATGGCTGGTTTCATCCTTGTTCGGAATCAGTATGGGAAATTACCAACAGTGCGAACCCCAATTTGGTCGTTTTGGGTCCAAGAGCGCGACCCCTATGTTCCTAGTTGGCGTTTAACACCTCGGGACCATGTAGACCAGCAACGACCTGAATGACCATGTTACAAGTTAGGTAGTAGTAGAGGGATTTAGAGTGTTTTTCCTACTTCGTCGCAGGTACTCTTAATCCGTCGCCACACAAATGGACGAGAGGTAGACGGCCATTTCGTCCTTTTGGGATTGGTCATTAACGAGTAACCGCTAGATGTTGCTCCTTCCGCACCCACTACAATGCTCTTATGAGTCAGCGACTTGGGCCACTGAGGCGAGGGTCACGGCGGTAAACCGCCACGACACAGCGTGGCCCATCCTCCATTGTCATACGCGTTATGAACATGTAAGGGTGCAGAGCTGGCACCCAGAGCTACGAGTTCCTTTACGTGACGCCAGCAATCGAGTTGCTGTGTGAGCTGCTCAGTCGACTGCTGATTGTTGGGGAGAATCAGGGTGATCAAAAACAGATGCGCGCTACTGAGGAGTCCCAGTAGGGCTAAAAGGTTGTCTAGCGCTGTGCTTTATATGAGGCAGGTGTCTGACTGAGTTTCGTGGTGAAAACCCTCAAAAACGGTACTGGTTGTGCCATTATGCGTCTTACTCCCAGTGGCTTACACTTTCTTACTACGCAAGAGATAAGCTAGCTCCCCAGCGACGACTTCCCAAACTTGGGCAGCCTACCCTTTTCTTTCATAATTCCGACATTTATAACGATAGAATGAGGTTCATGCCCACTAGTCTCTGACTCGAATACAACACTATAAACACGCTACTCAAGTGAACACACACTATACCTCTGCTGTAAATACACTGGTTAGAATCCCTGCTCAAACCTTGTACTCTAACGAAAACTGCGTGCCCTCTATCACTCCAGTGACCTCATGGAGCAAATGACTTAGGTGGTGAAATAGTGAAGGTGGTCCATTTGGGGACGTTTACCTCTCACGTGTGAATAAACATCCGGCATGTGACAGTAATGCAGTGCGTTATGAACACATGTTCGAACTAATACTGACATCCGATATTAAACAAGGTGGCTGACATACGACATGGGCATGGACCTCTTTATACACAATCCAATATTCCTATGTTGACTAGCTAAACAACCTCCTTGTGATGCTAGCTTGGTGGTTCGGGTTAGTTCCGTTCGACTAAATGGCTTAGCTGTAGTGTTCCAACAGGTGGTTTGTTTGCGCCTAGTAAGCGTTCTCCCGAAAAAGATCCACAAATGTCTGCTAAACAACACTGTAACTAGGCGATATAATTCGCAACTAAATGTGATGTCATCCATCCGCACGTGACATCCACAAACTAGATTTTTCTTGCTCCTTTCTCAAGCCGAAGACCGGACCGAACATAGTCAACCATATAATGGAACGTTTATGAGTTCAAGTATCACTGCCACACACGTGGTTGACGGCTTCCGATTCCGGAGTTGCCTGTAACTGCGAGTGTGCATAGCCGCACTCACAGACGGACCATGGGTGTTTGCGCAGCAACTCGCGCAGCTCCATCCACACACCCCATATCCAGTGTAAACACGAAGGAATAAGACCACGAAGAAAGTGGATGGGAGCCACGTTTCAGTAACGGACCCTATTCTTTCAACATGCACAGGAGCATCATACGCGCGTATATAATCTGGGAATCCCATCGCAATGAGGCTGGACCTCACCGTGGTGCGATGCCTTGCATGCCTCAGAGATCCACTGTGATGTGTTAAGTGATGCTTTTTTGCACCTTCAGAGCCACTCATATCAGATTGGTCAATGGTTAGAGGCCAGACAAACTCAGCCTACTGGTCCCCCAGCTTGGAGGTTGGAATGAGGGCGGCTTCTTATTCCTTAATACGCACTCCTTGTAGCGCGCCACTAACCCCGCTGCCTTGCGGTCAGGTTTTTGAACCAAAGGTTTTGGTTGAGAACCCTAAGCGTTTTCCTGTCTAGGCTTGGGCAACCCTACAGTATCCCATCCACGCAATACAAGAAATTTTTCTTCAACCAGCTTTATGATACTCCGGCCGTCGCAGAGGATAATAAACTACTCTTTATCTTCTGCATCGATCAGTCCCTCTCTTAGACTTGTTCATCCTTATGGTCCCGTGCTAACTTTGCTTTCATTCCCCCAGTTTTCAATCCTACGATTCTTGGTCCACCCCAGCTAGGCGTTTATCAACTAGTTTCAACTCACTTGCAAACGTGCAGCGCTACTCCTGTCCCGTCAACAAGCCCATGCCCAACCTACCATTCCACCCCACTGCATCGGTTTCTATTTGGAGCCCTCGATCCTCCTTCAGATTGGCATGCCTCGATTTACATACATTGCTACAGATTGGTCAACAGGCAGCACTTTCCCGAACTTTAGAGATCCATTTCATCGATATCTGCTGCTTATCGGAGACCCACCTGCAATACTCGGGATCTGTGCTCATTCTGTGATCCTCTTCAGTTGACACAAGTAGTATATTCTCATTGCGTCTATCCGGTGATGATGTAGCTTCGAGCACCGGCCAAGCTGGTGTTGGTATTGCCCTGAGTCCCCGGGCTGAAGCTGCTCTGGTTGACTGAATCCCAATCGGTAGCCGGATGTGTTCGGTCCGATTGGTTGGCTTCTTCAAAGCTTCAAAGTTGCGCGGGACTACTAGGTGTCTATTCATCATCGCTGCCTACGCGCCCACAAACTGTAGCGATTCTTCGGTAAAAGACGACTTCTATCACTAACTGAATGAACTCCTTCGCCACGAAAGAAGCACGGACACTGTTGTTCTGGCGGAGGATCTGAAAGCACAGGTTGGAAAAGTATCAACTGATGAACTGCATCTGCGCAGTCAACATGTTGTAGGTTCCCTTAATGATAACGGTAAAAGGTTACTTCATTGGTGTGAAGATGTCCGCTTATTTCTTGTGAGCACTAGCTTCCAACACAACACCCGTCGGAGGATGACATGGCGCCCTCCAGCCTCGAACTAGCTATGGTCGCAACTCGGTCACATTGCAGTCTGTTAACGATAGAATGGTTGCGTTCAAAACTATCGTTCGATTTGGAGCACATGTGTAGACACCGACCATGCACTTGTATGTGCTGACATGTTGATGCGTTTTGACGGACGCCCACGAAGACGCTGTGAGCGCATTGACACCAGTCAAGTGGAGAAGCTGTGATGGTGGCTGAAGGCTGGGGCGAACCGAATCGCCTGCTTATTGTGATCGATCAAGCGATCGATCGAGCGGACGAGTGGGCCTTTGAATAAACAGCTTGTTGTACTTTGCCTCAGAGTTGCGAATTGAAGGTTTGTGCGCAGAGCGGTGTGAGCTCTTTCTTTTGACGCGGCTGGGGAACCTAGGCTCAAAGCAGAAGCCAGCTGTTCTGAATGCGTATCGAAATACGTTGACATGCGGTTTGAGTAAGCGCTCACTGAAGGCTGTTGAAGGGAACTGATCGCATGTTTACCAGACCTTAATAGCTGCAGGCAAATCCTCATGTGGTAAGTCTAATCACCAACATGGACATTGGGTCTCTTCGCGGTCTTTGGAACTTACCGATACCCGGCGGCATCTTTTGACTGGAAGCAAATACAATGAAACTCGCAGAAACCTCCGG